AGTTGATTTTTCAATGTCATTTTAATAAACATAGAACCACTTATATTACCCTGATTAGGTCTTTTCTACATTAAATTATGTGTTAGAGACTTATCAACAAACAAAAAAAACAACAAGTCATTACACTCCAAGTTCAACTATCGTTCTTTTACTAGCAATGATATTTTTTCTCTCTGTTAACTATAAATAGTTTTTTCTTTTATTTTTACATTCTAACACAGTTCACAATCGTTTCAGCATGTGTTGTATGCGGAAATAAATCAACTGGATAGATACTAGTAGGAATGAATGGTGCACCAATTTGTTTCAATTTTGATCGTTCACCAGCTGCTAATCTAAAATTAAAAAAAAAAACTTATGCATAAGCAAATTATTTGTATCAAACAATGAGCATACTCATAAAAATTATGCATGATTTGTTCGTCAGATTTACTTGATACATAAAGAATTCGTTGAATAGATGGGAAACTACGAAGTACCGTTGTTGTTCGATTTGCTACAAAAAGAAATAACTCAATTAAAGATCTTGTTTAAGTTGATTTTTTTAACGATCTGAATCAACTGTATAATTATGTGTAGACTTTTTGACCGTGTAGATAGAATATCTCTGTTGTTCATTTCTTTCTAATTAGATAATTATATCAAACTTACATAAACTATATCGTGATGGATTAACAATAACTACAATACAAGAATGATCTCCATGTAAATCACCAATTTTCTTTAATATTCGATGTAAATTTATTTCCGCAGAGCCACAAATCCATTCAATATTATCTCGACAACCATTCAATTTTGCATTGAATTTTCCATTTTCAATACATAATGTTAAAGGATCAATAGCGTAGACTTTTTTAGCAATGAATGAAGCTAATATAGCATGAACACCTATGAATAAATTCAAATGATTTCATAAGAAAATGAGCTATTTAGAACATACACAAAGTACTGATGAAAAGAGTTTAATTCCTTATAAAAAAAACTTAAAGACAACTTTTCTCTATATAGTATGATAGTAAAAAAAACAATGTTCTAAATTGTTGTGATATTTAGTCATTCTTCAACTAATAAAGCTTCGATAAGAGCTATCTGTTATACTATGTGATGCTAGTATCAAATTACATTTTGTCTTCAATGTGTATCTTCTGCACGATTTTCTCTTTTTTCTAATGCCTAGCCGTCTGTACATATATTAAGATATAAAAAAAGTGATGTTGGTAGTACTAAAAAGAAATACTACAAGTTCATCAAGTATTTTGTTGCTCATAAATAGATCGAGTGATTTATAATACATTCTGAAAGTTTCATCTGAAAAGAATGTTTTTTTTTGTTAAGATATTGACTTTTCAACAACTGCCCGTTCGCCACAAAAATTAAATTTACTTGAGAATTCAATTTTGGTTTTTCGATGAATATCTAAAGTTGGATCGAAAATTCAGTAAAATGATCATAGTTCGGTTCCAGAGACTCATGGACACGAACCTGTTTAGAATTTTTTTAGTCTTACAAAGACCTCTTTGTAAACCTAATATAAGATCAAACCAGGGGTATCAGTTTGGTAATTCCTTTGTAAGTGGTAGGAAGTGTACCAACTTTATATGAGATGTATGATATTTATGTAAGTTAATCAGGAGGCCGAAAAGGGACAATATTAATAAGAGGATACACATTATAGACAAATATTATGACTTAATATTATCGTCACATATCAAAGCAAACAGTTCTTATCGAAGTTCTATCAGTTGAAGAATGACTAAATATCATAAAAATATAGAGCAATATCTCTTATTATCAACCTATATACAAAGAAAGTTTCTTTAAACTTTTTATAGGGAATTAAAATATTTCTATCACTATGCTCTATGTATATTTCTTACCAATGCCTGATCCAATATCTAATACTATTGTATTTTCATCTATTTGGGCATGTTTTAATGTAGATGTATAAATTATTTCGGCAGCTTTTTTATTTACTGGTAAAAGTGATTCAGGTGAAATACGAAATTTTTTTTCATTATATATTTCATAGATAAATTCATTTCCATAAATTAATTCAAATGGATTTTCTTCACTTGTACAACGATTTTGAGCACTAAATATAAACAATAAAGAAATTTGAAAATAATAAAATAAAAACAAAACATATGATATACCATATTTGAAAATAAATTGAATTTATTTCACATTCACGACCTGATCCATCGGTGAAATAATTCAATAGATCCTTTTTCATTTGATTGATTTCATTCTAATTAAGAATAAAATGAGTGTGAAAGACAAAAAGAATACATTAAATAAAAATTTTCTAAGCACCTTACTTAATGATTGAGGATGAACAATAACAGTCATCATCAAATCATCTTGTTCGTTTGATTTTAATGCTATTGAACGCCAATATTGATCTTTCTTCAATATATTTGTATTTTCACATACAGATAGAGGATGTTGTTTAAGAAATTGATCAAAATGCTTAAATAATAAATGTTTCAACTTTTTATTACAAAATAATTATTCAAAAAAAAAGTCATCTTACCTTCACTACTAGGACATGTTTCGATTTCATACTTTTTAAATTTATAGGTGGTATACATAAAGTATTAGGAAACTCTAAAGAAAATAAACATGAGATTGATTTTAAACAAAAAAGAATAAAGCAATTACTTTTACTATTTTTTGGATTAATATAGAATCCAATTGTTTTTTCACCATCTACTCCATAACCACATGATAAATCATCTTTACATCGATAATGATCAATGATAGGCTATTTTATAAAAAAAAAAACTTGTTTAATATCAACAGGAACAAAAATTATTTTACCGATGGAACAATTGATTCAACATGACAAAAATTTCCTTCTTGAAATTCAACATATTTCAAAACTTGACTATCAACTCGTTTATCCCATAGAATAGCACGACCGATTTGATCAAATGCTTGTTCGATTATATCTTGTTTAATCTATAATGATGATTGAAAAATAAATTTTCGAATATTTTGAATTTACTTTTAATTGTTCATCATATGAATGATTCGATAATGGTAAGATTAAATTAGATAATCTAGAGGAAAATAAAAAGAATGAGTTATAAATTAATAGAAATTCATTTACTTTTCATGTTGATTTTCAAGTGTCAAATCTTCAGCATATGGTTTTAATGAATCTGCAAAATTAATCGCGTCGAATTTAGGCTTTCGATTTTGTTTTCTATATAAAGAATAAATAGATAAGTAAATACCAAGAGAACAAATCCAGTTCGACTCACGGATAAGTGTCTGTGGATTTTTTTGTCGATGTTTGATGTTGTAATGCTCGAGAGACATTAAATAGAATATAACTAGGAGTTAGAGAACGTTGTGTTAAGAATTTAGTAAGAAACATTAGTTAAATGTGAAAATCAAACTTTAAAATGAATGAAACATCAATAGACAACTATTGTCATTTAAATATAAGATGGAAAAGGAACTGCACAAATCGTTATTTAGTTCGTCTACAGATGTCTCTTGATATTGGATTTTAGTTGCGCTTTAAAACATCTTTTTATCAATAAGCAATATATGACTAATTTCTTTTAAAACATGCTAGAAATCGGAATTGAATGAATGCTGTATACTTGTAATGATTTATTCACTAGTGACAGATAATGGTTATCCATTTATAGTTATTTTTTTCCTATCGTATTCAATTAGGCTGACGTCTCATAATAGTAAACAACGACGCATGTATCCTATATGAAGGTTACTCGCTTTTCTTTGACCATTTCTGTTTCTTCACGAGAATACAACTGATCGGGTTCAAGTTTTTATCACAGTTAGATTATCGAAAATGATGAGATCCATGTTCAAAGAGAAACGTTTTAAAGGTATTTTCAAGAGCCATGAAACCTGCTTACAACTCCAGTCTTACTTCGTCCTATCCAGAGGGAATTTTTTCTGGAGATACCTGAGACAAAGTCTTAAATGTATTTTGTAAAAAGGGTAAAAACGTTGCTGAGACTTTGTCCCAAGTATATACAGAAAAAAAATTCATCCCAATCGGACAAAGTGAGACTGTGGCTGTGAGCCAATTCAATGATCTTTGAAGATTAATTCAAAAAGCTCCTGCAAACTTCTTGCTAAAAGTTTTTCCTCGAGCATGAGTCTCGTCGTTTACCTGTGATAAAAATTAGAGTTTTGTGAGTTGTAGTCTCGCTGAGAACAAGAAATAGTCCAAGAAGAGTGGTGTACTCTCAATGCAACTTCATTGTGTCTTTCTGTTGAGAAGGTTTTCTCATTAAAGATTGAAAATTTGAATGCCTCGAGGATATTTTATTGACATATATATAAATAGAATAACAATCCAAAAGAACTTTTCGAAAAAACGAATAAACAGTAGATTGTCCATGGCAATAAAAAAAAAGATCAGAGACATGAATATATCAAATGTATCTATCTACTAAAAAAATCATAAAAGGAAAGAAACAAAAAAAGAAAGAAAGAAAAAGAGAAAATTCAAGCTTTTCTGCAATAAAATATGGTTAAAAAAGCGCAGTTAATAAACTATATACACACACAAGTGAAAACGTTGTATTGAGTATGAGCAAGAATAACTTTGAGCACGAGAAAAAGACAAGACGAAAAAATTCACCAGTAGCGGTGTCAAAAATAAATACATACTCATGCATATATATGATTTAGCCAAAATGAAATATTAACAGGCGACGAAAAAAAAAAAGAATAATTTCTTTTGATTACAAGGAAATGTTAAAACATACGGCTGGTTAATTCAGAAAAAAAAGACAACAAATCACCTCGTCCTAACGTATGTGAATAAATAAACATAGAAAAACAGCAGTAATATTCAGTAAAAGAATTATAGTTAAAATATTGAAGACAATAAAAGTGACACAAGTCAAATAAATATCGAAAGAAGTTTTAGATAAACTTCTTTCAAGAGTTGTAATAAGACAAAATGAAAAACTATGTTGAATAATGTGTCAAAACGAGGATCGAAACCAATATTAGAAGGGTGTCATGGATGGTGTAAAAGGCGTTGGTTGAGTATATCCTCCGACTAAAAACGAGAAAAATAGACAACTCTTTTTTCCTAACATTAATTATCATATAATAACGTACGTCGAAACTCGGGATTGAGTATAATTATTTTAAAATTGCGTCGACCACGAACTTGAGCAACAAGTTGAATAGCATCGAAAAGACGTGGCATTGTCGGAAAACCATAATCTGTTGGATAAAGTAAATGTGTTGAACCAGTTCGACGTTGATATTCGACAATAAAATCATCATAAGCCATGCGACCGTCACATGGACTAAGAAGCAGTACTACATTGTAAGCAAAACACATTGGTGGAGTCAAACGGACTGTTTGATCGATCACCTATTACAATAAAAGTATTTAGTCGATAGAAGAAGAAGAAATGTATGAACAAACTTCGACATAGTCTCGTAATTCATTGCGACACATATTCAAAGTAACATCTTGTTTAAAACGAACAAGCATGTCTTGTTTTAATTGCCAAAATGATAATTGACATTGAGACAACATTAATGTGAGAATAACATTTTTAGCTAATTGAATCGTTGCTGGACTTGGTTCTTTCATTGCAAGTATAATGTCAGTTTCAGTATAATGAAACTAAAAATAATATTTATTGAAAACATTATAATTATGTTTGATTTATTTATTTTTTTTACGTACGTCAAGTTTGTCAGTCATCGTCAGAAGTAATGCTTCAATACTAGCTACACCGAAATCTTCTGGATTTAATTCATTTCGATAAACTTGTAAATATTGTGCTTGAAGATCTTGTATTCTAAGTGGACCGTGATATTTTCGAACCAATTGTTCAATATTTAATAAAATTGCATGTGCCATCATACTTGGTGTTAATTGAACAATTTTCTCACCGTTTTTATCTTCATTGATCTATTTAAATATGATAAAAATATCTCTCTTGTTTCAAAAATAAAAGAAGTTATTTAAAATTCATACTTTTACAACATGCGATAGTTCTTCAAGTAAATCAATTAAACGAGAAAATCCATATGTTTGTACTTTACATTGATAACCAAAATGATGACTAAATATAAACGTTCATGTATGTACAAGAAATCTTCTTTTACTCTGTCTTACTGATATGATGGAATAAATTTTTGAAATGGTATACTGAAATCAGGTAAAATACGAAGCATATCAATAACATCTTTTTCAAAATTACGTGTTGCATAGATTTCGAGATCAGTTCGTTCTAAATTCAAAAATAACTACAATATGCTTTGAATTAAAAAACTATTAACCTTTTCGATAAAGTTTGATAATATGTTTATCCGCTTCGACAACTAATTCTTTGTTATCTTTAACTTCATTTACAAGATCTTCCAAATAGCACATGCCAAAGTCAGCAACATAAAAAGGTTTCTTGTAAGCAATTTCTGAAAAGCAAAAGGCCAAATTTGATTATTATATATATTTATTCTTTTCAATTCTTAATACCATATTCAATAGGAATTTCACTGATTGACATTGATCGTTGTGGCTTATTTTTTAAAATACGAATTATATCATTAGTAAATCGTTTCATTTGACAACGATGTGTAATTGTCATAATACGTTTATTTCCATCACCAAGAATCTATTTAAAAATGAAAAATATATGTTATAGTCTTTCTTTCTGTTTTCTTTTTGATTCTTACTTGAACAGATTTTGGAATAGCAAGTAAAAGATCAATAATTTTTGAAAAACCATAATCAGCTACACGACATTGTCGACTAAAATATTGATGATAAGCAGAAACAAATTTCGAAACAGGTAAACGACAATGAAATCCTTGATTTTTAAGTAAATCAAGAACTTCACGTGAAAATTGTTGTAAACGTTGTTGAACTTCAGCACACATGTCGACATGCACTTTTATAGAAAAAAAGGGATAAAATAAAATTCATAAAAAACAAAACATCAAATGAATCATAATTTACTATTAGAAGTGTCAAACGTTGTTGGCATAAACGATAAACCTGGTGTATTAGAAAATTGAACTTTTTTAATTACTCCTTGTCCAGTCACAATTTGAATATCTTTGATACCTAAAACGAGACATCAATAAAAATTTGATGAAAACTATTAAAAAAAAAGAAAAAAAAAGAAACCTTACATGAAATATAATGTTCAAGTGGAACACCTTCATTGTGATCATATAAAGGTTCGAAAGTATGATTATAACATTGAGGAAAACTAGATGAAATAAAAATCGAATAAAAAAATTCTGTTAGCATAAGCCCTGTAGGATTAAAATGCGAAACTTTTCTTTATCTATTTTGGGACACATTGCTTCACCATGCTTTCACTTAATTTTCGGTTTCGGTCTCAAACTCGACTAATAGAAAAATTTCAAACTTGAACCCGAACAATTTCAGAACCAACCTGACTGACTCTGCTAGTGTCCGTCAAATAGAACTCGGCAGTTTCAAAATAACTGGAACCAACTTTTTAAAATCTCTTGCAATCAGAATTAATAAATCATTAGATAGATAGAAAAATTTTTAAATCTATGCCGAGAAACCTTCATTTTCTCATTCTTGAGATTTAAAGATTTCAGTTCGCATGTTGAATACTCATGTACGAAAATATATAGCATCTTTAAATTCAACTACTCAATAGAAATACTTTCCAAAATAGATTTAAAACCTTCGAATGTATTTGATGATTTGATAATTTCAGTTCCCAATGATATTTTTGGAACTGAAGTCGAAACCGCACTTCTGGATAGTTTTTGAAATTATTGAATTCTACTCTCGTGGTGTGTGCATCTAAGTTTCTATCCTACATACTTCAATACTTCTTTTAGATCGTGTTTCGCAACAAAACAAAATAGATACCTAGCTAAAGGCATTGAACCATTGTGTTGAGTTAATAATTGACGAATATTATCAGCAAATAAGCTAAATGGAATTTGAACAAAAGGTAAATCAAGATCAGGATTAACAATAAAATTTTTCGGACAATGTATTATACAATAAGGTTGTTCCAAATGAGCCTAATAAAATGAAAGTAATGATTAATTAAAAACAATCTTGGAAAATTATATGATTTGCCTGAATATTATTTTCGTCAAAACGTAAACGAAATGCAGGTAATAGACGAGCAACTCGATTGCCTCCATAGTCTTGAATATCAATAACATGTTTCATTGTATATAATTCACTTACATGAAGTGGTTTTTGAAATCTAGAAAGAATCAGAATTTTGTTTTATGTCTTATATTTTAATCGAAAAAATAAACAAACAAACCGGCTTTGATATTCTTGAATAAGTGTAACAAGTACACAAGTACAATCTGGATGTTCTTTAAGTAACAATGCAATTTCCAAAGCTCGTCTATGGAAATCAAAAACTACTGAATAAGAATATAATTATCATTATATTATAACATACTCAGCTGAATCAACTGTTGAACCAACTGGAGGAAGTGGTGCTGGAGGTGGTGGTGTTTCATATAAAGATGATGAAGTAAGTGCAGGTGTAATACGTGATCGTTTAATAGATGATGGTACTCGACTATACAAATCAGGTGTTAATGATCGTACTGGTGTTGAAAATTCGAGTTTAGTTGTTGGTTGATTGCTAGCAAATGATCGACCGACTATTAGAAAGAAAGCAAAAAAAAAGAAATTTTAAAATCAATCTAAAATCTTCTTTTACTAGTTGTTCGATTGCTAACGTCAGAAAATGGTCGTTTTGTAGCACTGTTTGTAGGTGATTGTGGTCCAAGTTCACTCATTACTGAACGAGGTGTATAAATAGGTGGTTCATGTATCGATGAAATATTCCATTGAGATGGACTTGACATCCACCATGTAGGTGTGGTGGGTTGCATGAAACCAGAATCAATAGAATTATTATCACTAAGTAAACTTAATACTGTTTGTTTATCAAAATCTGGTCCAAGACACCAAAGTACACTAGGATCCATCTCGGCAGCGGCACTTTTTGGTTGTTGCTGCTGCTGTTGTAGAAAATCGTATGACCTATTGAAAAAAAAATAGTCTTTGAAAACTTTGAACTAATAAACTAACATCGAAAATGACATTGTTTGGTATGTGTTATTGTGAACAGATAGAAAACAAATCGACGTCGAACACTCTGTACGTATATATGTGTTAAAGACACATGTACTGCTATATGTTTGTAAAGATATATATAGAGAGATATACGCTGGACGACGATATAAAAGAAAGAGAACAATCGAGAAAACAACTGATGAACGATTATTCGTGCTTTTCTTTTTGTTCGTTCGAATGATGATGCCTCGAAGTAATCGCATATATCATATGAAAACATGCATTGTAGTTATTGTACATTATGTTATAAGCTTTATGGTCTAAAGAAAAGATAGAAATGTCCGTTGCCGCCAACGCATATATTGCTGTATTACAATCACCATTCTCAGAAGAAAAACGAAAAGATAGACACATTACGATCAAAATATTATATTCTAGATTTATCAAAAAATCGAAAAAAAACACAAATTTGTTTTTTTCAAGTCTATGTAGAAGAAATACAAGATAATAAATAGAATCACACATAATTTTGATAATAAGTCGGACTTTCAAGACCACCATCACTAGGTGAATCAGCATCAGTTGAATTATTTAATTGTCTTGAACATATTTCTTGTCGTTTTTTATTTAATTTACGTTCTTTTGCACGACGATTTTGAAACCAAATTTTAATCTATTTAAAAAAAAAAGTCAAAAGATATTCAACAATATTCTTTTCTTACTTGTCGTTCACTTAATGCTAATGCAGATGATAAAGCTGCTTTACGTGGTATTGAAATATATTTTGATATAGTAAATTCATTTTCAAGTTCATATCGTTGACGATCAGTATAAACAATACGATATTTATCACGTGTACGAGTTTTTCCTAGAATAACGAATAATAATTATTTCTTTCATATTGACTGCTATAAAACTTTATAACATTCGACCTAATAAAATTTTTTTACTAGTGTTGACTTCAGGTATAAAAACTGTATGCATATATAACAATATACAACACAATTAAATTTCTGTTTTTTTGGAGGTAAAGAGAGAAACTTTTGTGAAGTTATGAAAAACTTTTTAGATCAGATTTGTTTCATAAAATAGAGCTTACTTAGAGTAAATAAATCTATAATAGTTCGTTTGTGTGTTGTTTTCATTTTACTGAGTTTCTAAGCTAGTAGTGAAGAGTATATCATCACAAATCTAATGTCACTATTTCAGTCATAAACAGATCTTATAATCTCCTTCGGACACCGAATTTTTTCTTCGTAAGATTTTACATCTTCAACCAATATGTATATTTTAGTATATATTCAGAAAAAATGTAGTTTACTTCTAGATCTGTTATCACAGACAGAAAAAAAAAACATTCGTTCTAGATAAAACTTTGAGTATATGATAGAAATCGCGAGATGTTTTCGTCGCCTATATTTCAAGCCGAACTGACGCCATTAGACATTTGACGATATAAACTTCACTAAGACAGAAACTCAGTGAAATTAAAGCGATAAGACAGCGAACTTCAATATAGATATTTTTTACTATTAGTAGACACTACCTAGTGATAAAAATTTCGTCTCAAAAAATTTTTTATCGCTTCAATAGATTTCCTTGTAAGTTAAATAATATTTGTTTGAGCATCTTATTGAAATAAAATTTAACTTAAACGCTTTAGAAAAGTTCTAGTTAACATTTCTTTTCTATTTAGACTGCTTCTTTTTTTTTTTTCAATGCTACTTTCTCCACTTGAGTGATGAGTTCACGATTATTCTTATCAATGTATGTATATCAACAATTGAAAGTCATAAAATATATGCATACGCACTACGGTACCATTTTATGACATTCGGCACTTTTTTTTTCTGTTAGAAAAATCAATCAGCATATATTGAATGATTGTTAGTTCTCTCTCATATTCCTTAAATTGTTTACATTCAACACTGAACACTCTGATCAGTGTATAACACCAATGTGGAAACGCGTGTTTAAGCAATATTCAATTCCATGCCCTTTAACTTCTTATTTTATATTTTTAAAGGTCAATTGAAAAATGTAACATACCATTTGCTGGATTTTTTGGTGGCGTTGGAGTTAATTGTGATTTAAACCAATTTGATTGTTGTTCTTGACATTTTGTATATGATGAATTCGATGGTTCTTCTTTACTATCAGATAATGGTTGATCAATATTATGTGACGATTCAAAATATGATGGTGGACTATATGGAGATTCAAATTTAATTGGTGCCAGTGATGATGATGTTGGTGGTGGTGTTGTCCATTGTGATTGATCATAGAAATTATTATTTGTGTAAGTATAATGACGGTAATTATTTGGTGATTGATATTCAGTTGGTGTAAGCCAATTTGGTGAATCATTTGATGATGATGGTGCAGGATAAAGATGTTGATGAATATGATGATGATGATGTGTTGCTGATATTGTTGCTGTTGAATTTATTTGTGATAAATGTACAGTTGATCCGGGTACAAGTGTCTCAATAGTTTGATTTGTTGATGGTGATGTTTGAATTTGATCAATTATTTGATTTGTTGTTGATGTTGGTGGTATTGTTAATATATTATGTGTTGCTGGTGTTCCTGGCCAATAATTATAATCAAATGCTTCTAATTTTGATGTTGCTGCATAATCAGTATAAGGTGAATAATTATTATAAGTTGTTTCATATAGACGAGGATTAGATTCATGATCAACAGATATTATTGATGGATAGTTCGTATTCATTGTCTAAACTAATATATGTGAAATATAGAATATATTGGTGCAATTTTTTTCTTTCGTCATGCTTGATTGACATAAATGTCTTTTGGGATAGTTTGTAAAAACAGAAAAAGAAAAAGAAAAATTCAATTTACCTGTTTGATGATTACAGGTGTTAATAATGACGCAATAAATTATAAGTGATGATTTCACGGATAATCAAATTTTGTTTTTTGTTATTGTAGTAATAAAATTAGAACTTTTCGATATTGCTTTAATCACATGATACAATCATAAAAAATCTAGGAATTATTTTCTTCAATTGAGAGAGATGATGATACGTATATATTGAGAGAAGTAAATGTGTATACACAACACTGCACTTTTTCTTTTTTTTTATGATTCAATGTCTATGTCGAATAACACTATTCCTCTTGATGATAAATCGATAAGAGAGAGAGAGAGAGAGAAGAAAAAAAAGACAAGTATGTAATTTTTATTGGTGGAGAAAAAAGAAATAATATCATTGGTTTATAGAGAAGCCGAGAAAAAAAAGAAATATTGATGCGAAGGGTAAATCTGGCAACTTTAAAACAACAAAAAAATCAGATGAAGTAAGAAGCAACATGATATAAAAGTTCTAGACAGGAAGGACTCTTAATTAATATCCGAGCCAGAATCTAATAGGAATGCTCGTAAACGCAATATTTTGATAAAGAGAGCAGCTAACTTTCTGCAGTTTTCAATAATCGAAAGAAGAAAACTTCGAATATTTGACTGAAGAGATACATGATTTTATTTGTGAAACATTCAGACATGAGAAAATGATTACTTGGATCTTGACTTGAACTAGAAATCTAAAGTATGTGTCAGAATCAAAATTACATTGAAATGAAACACCATTTCCATGCATTTTTTGGATTGGTTTAGCGAGATTATGAGTTTTAAAAGAGCTTTGTGGTTTACAATATCAAATAAATAGACGTCCGAGGTTCTACTCTTGAATATTTATAAAGACTGCAATTTGCTAACTTTTGTCATCATGAAATTATTGAGCTTTCAATCATCTTCTTTTAATAGTAGCACGACTATTAATTGAAAACTTCTTCATGTTGCCTTCTTATTAATATAATAAATGTTTCTTTGCTTCTGAAAAAACGTTGTAAATAAAAAATTTTAAAATCTTATTAATTCGAGATCCTTGAATTCAGCTTTATAGATCCATTTGTTGTTGTAAAAGCCAACACGTGTTAACAGGAACTGTTGCCGAGGTCGATTCGAGGATATCAAAGAGTGTAGACGTCACTGCTCTGGAGAAGTATTCTTCCCTCCTCCAATATTTTCTTTGTAAAGCTTGAATCCAATGAAAATCTTGAGTAAGAAAATATCTTTTATTTTACAGAATCAAATAACACTAGAGAAATATTATCTATTTTTTTGTTCAAGTGGTCTTATATTGATTAATTCCGTTGAATGTTCAATCACGGTATACTCGAAAAGATAAGGATTCTTTCATGCTATTGAATTGCATCGTCATTTCTTCTTTTTTTTCCTACTTACCTTCTGTCAGATTATTATTCTTATTATGCTATCTATTTCAATCAAAGGCTAATAAAAATCAATCTGTGTGAAAGAAGGAAAAAAAAATCGAGTCATGAGAATTGTCTGATGATCTTATTAGAATAAACATACAACATGTTTTAGTCCATATGCCATTTGTAGAAAATATAATCAAGTTCATTTATCAATCTTATTGATAGTTTAAGCTTGTTGTCACTTGAGTGAAAGGAAGATTTTGACTTCTCCACCTTCGTTTTCTTCACACTTATGTGTGACCAATCACATGAACTTATTTAGTGTTCATACTAATTGATTCGATGACCTGTTCATATCTTGTCTCAATTGGCACTATGGAAAAAGTCAAACTGAGCATAAAATTGATACCACTCATAGACATTTATTCAATTGAGTTAAAATAAATATAAACTTGTCTTATTTCTAATTTAGGAAATTATATACGGCAAGAAAACTTTATTCTCCGCTATAAAAGACAATAATAACTATACAAGGATAAAATGAAAAAAAAGGCATGGTTCTATCACATATAAAAAAACAATTGTAAATCATGGAGATTTTATGCATATGGACTTGTGAGATAAAATAAATACGAATAGCGAGCATGTTAAACAAACCATAATCTATGAATGTATACAGGTAGCACCTCTTTTTCTATGCATTAATAAAATTTTTCACTAAGCATCTCTTATTTTTTCATTGAAACTCCATATAAAACACAAATCATCCAAAAAGAACAAAAAGACAACGGTTCATGCAGCAAAAAGCTAGCAGCAAGCTATAAAAAAAAGCCATGCAAACTAGCTAATTTTATCACTATAAACATATATATATTTTTTTTTCTAATATAAATCTTCTCTTTGTTCTTCATTTTTGTATAGTATTATTTTTAAAAAGATTACGAAAAAATGTTTTAGCCTGTAATTTCGAGTTTTGTAACTGTAAAAGAAGTTCGTCGATTGTGTCTGAATAATAGAGACAAAAAGAAAAAGAAAACAAACAATAATTAACGTAGAACAAGTTTAGAAAGAGGATTGCTTAATGAATATAATAGAGATTCGGACATTCGTGTAGATATTGTTTTAGCCATACCTGCCTCAGGTGGTGGTGGAAGAGGATGATAAACAGAAGCTAAATGTTCAAGTTGTTCATCAGTTAGAACATGAAGAGAACCTGTTCGATCATCTTCATCATCAGTTATTTGTGATGAATAACCATCACTCGGTTTTCTTTGATGAGTATAATGTGAAGTTTTCTTTAATTCTGTATCGGAATTAATAATAACAATTTGTGGTGGTGTTTGTTGTGAAGAAAGAATAAATTGATCATTAAATTTTTTTGCAGTTGTTTCAACACCTTCCGGTGAACTTCGACCACTTGTATTAGCAAATATTCCAGCTGGTAATTTTTCCGTACGAAGTAAACATGAACGAAGTAATTGTTCTGGATGATTTAATCGTTTTACTGGGTAAATTTTAGGGGATGTTGATGGACTTGTTGTAGTCGGTGATGGTGGCAATTTATCCTAAATAGGTTTGAAAAAAAGTAATTTAATAAAACTTGCCAATAGAGTCCATTTGAGCTTAAAATATAGAACTTATATGTGTTCACTAATCTTGTTATACTAATAGAAAATCAGTTAAGTGAAAAATCTTAAGTAGATTATAGTTATTATTCAAGGATAGTCAATCGGCAGAAATAACTATTTCAAACAAACATATTTATGAAAGATCATATGTTGGAGTGATGCTCCCATATATCTATTTCTATTTTCAGTTTTTTGACGAAAATGACTTATTTTTTTGGAACTAATGGAAGTAGCCTCACCAACTGATTAATCGTTTTTAAGTCAAGATGATGTGCATCATCTAGATCCTACTTGGTAATACATATCTCGAAAAGAGTTCGAGTCCACAGCTTATTGTTGCCGATATATTACATATTTACGATGTTTTTCAATACAACGGCGAAGTCCCAACTCAGGAACACTAAGAAAATTGATCTTTGAATTTCGACTTAAAACTTTGCGTAGAAGCGAGATTTAATGAGAATAGTTTATTGTAAAAATTTCAGATATTTTCATTGTTCCTATCCCAAAACACAGTCATGATAAAAGCACTTTCACTATTAACTGTTCCACGGCCTTAGATTGAAAAATACCGTAAAACAACGATAGGTCGATAGACATAAGCTATGAGTTCGGACTCGTTTCGGAATATTCATAACCAACTAGGCTCTACATGACGCATATAGTTCTCAATCAACAGTGATGAACCAGGAGTCTGATGCCTATTATTTTCGATTGCTAGAGTCTATGAAGAAGCGACAAAAACTTCTATTTACACTTAAATTCACTATTTTCTGTGAAAATATATGTACGTTTCATAAAATTAAGAAAAAAAAATAAGCAAGCTTCATACGAATTCTGTGTAAGTTATTTGTTCTTCAGTGACACCGTCTGTCCGGTCGCCAGGTTCACATGGTAACTTTCCGTGATTTCGTTGTGCATGAATTTCGTTACTAATTTTTTCGAGATTACGCAATGATTCTTGATATTGTGATTTAGCTTCGTTAACACAATTTTCAAGTCCGTCAACTTTACGTTTTTGAAACTAAAATAAAAACATATTATTTTCAAAGAAGACAATAAAAATTAATGTTTTATTCATACATCTAATTCTTTATGATATTCAGCTTTTTTTTCATAATAAGGTCTTTAAAAAAAAGAAAAAGAAAAATTTATTTATTATAAAATTTTTATTAAAATATTTTATGTTACTGTGATTTATTAATCGCTCGTCGATAAGTTTTTTGTAGTCTCTCAACTAATTTTTCTACTTCAAAATAAGCTTGTTCAGCTTTTTGTTGATCTAAATCAGCTTCGTATTTTTCTTCTTCAGCAGCAGATGCCTTTAAATTAACAATTTTTATCCTTATATTTCAATGAAATTATTTTAACAAACTTTTGAAAGAGCATGACCATAGGTTTCGCTCCATTTTTCTGGATTTTGATTTGCTTTTTCGGCTTCATCAATATAATCAGCCTATAGCATTTTAATAATTTATTCAATATTAATTTTCAAAATAAAAAACATTAATTGCTTACCGAAGCTACAGCTAATTCTTTGGCAGCAACATATAAAGCTTGTGCACGTTCAAATCGATGTTTTGCTTTAGTTAAGATTTCTTTTTTATGTCGTAGTTGAATTCGAGCATCATAATAACTTCGTGCTTTATTTACAGCTGAACCAATACTTTTTTCTAATTGAAATAATTCTTCTTCAGCTGTACTCCAAAATTCTTTAAGATGTTTTCGAGCTTCCTATTAATAATGAATGAAGACATGAAGACAAATAAAAAACGAAAGAATTTATTTACATCAAATTGTAATTCTAAATGATTGATTGCTTCATTTGCATGATTTAATCGTTCTAATTCAAACTACATTAAGTAAAAGATAATAAGGTTGAATGAAGGAATTAAAAGATGACTAACTTGAACTCGGGGATCCAGTCCTTCGTCGTCCTCAGATGTTACACTTGATTCAATGGTTGATTCAATTTCAGTATCTGCCAGATTAGCCATTCGTAATCTGAAAAATACAATTATCACAGTATTATTTCACCTTAACAAAAGAAAAGATCGACTAAGAATTAATCATCTTAATAAGATTATTCATCTGTTCATCAAAATTATCCGAATCATTATTCGAAAATACAAAAGACCACTCAACATTTTTATCAAGTTGACATTCAGATTCTGAATCATCAATATTCGGTGTAAAAATCCAACCACGTTTTTTACGTGTATCAATCGATGCTTCAATACGAACAAGTAATAAACAATTCGGAAAATATTTTTGAAAAAAATCAATATCTGTATAACGTCGAATATCACATATAATCCATATTGGATTTGTCAAACATAATTCATGTTTTTGTTCAATAGCCATACGACAAAAAATTGATGGATCTTCATTTCGTTTGTCTTCGCCCCATCTAATATTTAAAAAAAATTAAAAATTCTTTGAGCAAAGATAAAACAAAGATTAATATACTTAATCATATCTTTTCGATAATTTTCTTTATACGATGATGAATTTAATAATTCTTCACCATTTATTTGATTTAATCGAGCAAATTCTAATTTTAATGGTTCACTCAAATGTAAAAGTACAGCTTGGAGTTTTTCAGCTAATTTTTCGCCTATATAATCTTTTCCACATTTACGTTTACCGGAAAGAAGAACAACTTTTTTTAGATTAGAATATTTCGATTTATCAAACGATGAATTCATTATAATGAATCTAAAATTGTTTAATCGAACATTATGGTGAGAAAAAAATTTCTTAATTAATGAATTCATTCATAATTTATTTTTGTTCTTTGTCTTTTAAGATACCGAATTCTGTGTTTTCAATTTTTGAAAATAAATTGTCTCGAAAATCGTGGAGAAAAAACTAAATTCTAAATATGATCAATATATAAATATTTCATTTCTGTTTTATAGAATATTATAAGAGTCACTTCCTGATTCTAACGACAAAATTCACCAAAAAAAAAAACTTTATGCAGGAAATAACTTTTATAACGTTCTATAAAGTGACAACAATAATAATATTTCTGTGTTATTTAGAATTTTGTCGTTTTTTCAATTTTCAAAAATACAAAAAGTAGTTTTTCATGGGTAACTCGATCTGCTCTATTCCTTGAAACTAAATAAATTGAAATAGAATATTTTTAATAAAAAGTTTGTAGCAAATAGTTTTCTCATTTGTTTACAACATTAGAAATCGATGTTACTTAAATGATTTCATATAATGAATTTCAATGAAAATGTTTGTTCTTCCAGTTAAAGTTTTAAGAAGTACATAAACGTTAAAGGTAGTCTCTTTCCCATTCTGAGAATTTCTAGAAAACGGCTAATCAGAAAATATTGAAATTTTCAAGACAGGTAAGCCTTGAAAAAATACAACACAAGTTATCATAGATTCAAAGTTCTCGGATGCTGTCTTCTATGAGATACTGGGATGATAATAGTCTCGATTTCATCCAAGATGCTATGTTCGATCGAACTATTAGGTTATCTTTTTCTGTCGTTCGAAGAAAAAAGCTAAAATATCCAAAGTGCCTTCAAAAATGCATGTTTTATATAGTACGAGTCACCGAAAATCAGCAGAAAAAATATTTTACTTACCATCCTAAACAATTCATAATATATATGAAAAACGTTTCAACTCAACCCGAGAAATAGGAAGCGTTTTTGTACTTTTGTTTTTATGACAAAAGTGCAAGAGTACCCTTAATAAACTTATGTCAGTCTCTTTCTGATCAGTTCTGTTGTTATTTCGAAATCCCCAATAATTCGATCTAAACTATAGCTTTAACAGTAACCTTTTTGAATGATAAAGACCATTTCTATTATGCCTAGAAACAAAATTTACATAGATATTTTGTTCTAATTTGCATCGAAACTTAATATGTATCTATACTTAATGCTTGAGCTAGACCGAAAAAGAATATAATTTTAGTAAAATTTCTATTGATTTATATTCACCGATATATAATAACAATATGTTAACTGCGACAAATCGATGTTGTTCCGATAAATTTGATAAATAATCAAATTAGCGAAGAAAGAATTTATTTCATAGCATACACCATTTCATCTATGATATAATTCAAATAAATATATATAAAGTGTGACTTTATATAGAAAATAAAAAAAAAGGTCTTCACTATTGAAATAAACTCATTTTGTCAGTGATATTTACGATAAAAGAGCAATTATTAATTATATATATATATTAAAATAAGTGATTATTTCTAGATGGTCGAGAAATTGACAAAACATTTTATTTATGATTGGGAGATGTCGCTAACAACAAAAGGAAAAAGGTTTTTTGATCTCATACTAACAATTCGTATCATATATCATTTTACAACAATTGTTTTATTATAATTAGTGAAAGTAGTTATGATTGTAAAAGATATGCATTCTCAAGTTTATTAAAATGAATTTTATTAGAAACTCTTTTTTCTAGTAATTCTTAGGTCAAACGAACACAGTCTTAAACAAAAGTTTACAGACAAATACGACAATATACAAGGCTTAGTATTTTACGATCGTCTATCTTCAAATCATATACTATGATTTTTGAAGAAGAAAATACTGCTTGTTTACTTTTTGTATATACAGAAGTTGCAAACGGTCTCCATTTAGCTTCATATAGAACTAAATAGCTCCTTATGCGGTGACGGAGATATACGATCGTAATACTAAGTTACGTAATACAGCAGCATTTGGTTGTCTATGATGAAATAAGATTGTTTATTGGCGTATATGGACTCCGTATGTATTGTTAATTAGTTGCCTGTATACGATGAAGCTTACATTAAGATGATGATGATGATGATGTTTTCTTTTTTTGTCGAAATCGTTATTCTCTGAGTTTTCAATTTAGCTGATGGCCGATTTGATAATTTGGCTGGATTGACATCAATGAAGAGTACAATGTAATAAAGAGAATTTCATGGGTAGCGGCTTATCATGTGTATTCCTTCTCATTTCGAATGCAATAAAGATGTTCTAGCACAGTATTTTCAGCAAAGACAGGCGAAGGAATGAAAAAGAAACATATATATATATATGTGTGTTAGAAGTATGCTGTAAATAAATTATAACAATATTTTATGAAACAAACATTTACGTTCTTTTTTTGGAAATTACCTTGTCGACTTTTCCTCATTCTTCTATAGCTTTAGAATACACACTCAGTTCTTAGTCATTATTTTTCTATTTGTTGGAGTCATGTTTTGAGAGAGGTGTGATTAAGATTTTTTCTCGACTTTTCCTTTTTGTAATCCACCCCTTTTGTCAGCGCTCCAGAGCGTCACTAATAACTTGCACATAAACAAAAAATACTAATAAAGAGGGTCTACTATGTGAAATTATTCTAATGATAAATAAGAATTGATAATTGACAACCAAAGGTCTTTCTTCCACGTGGGTTGCAACAAATTCTAGTTACGAATTAAAATTATCTAAAAAATAATCTAGACAATTAGGATTTCCATGCCATGAGATATTTTCTTGGGTTACAAGTAAGCGAATACTAGACTCTTACTCTATTTTGTTTTCTACTGTGCTATAAAAATACATTAGGATGCACAGACTTATTCGAATAAAAATGTTGAAAACTTACTTTAGGTAAATGAAAATCAAATGTTGAATAATTTCTCAAAAATAAGAGAAGCGAATGTTTTCGACATTCAATGTCGATTCAGAGAGCTTAATTCTAATCTCATAAAAACCTATTTATAGTTAAACAGAGAGCTTTGAATTTTTGTAGACTTGGACTTGGACAGATTTAGACTCAAGTTTTTTTCGCCAACATTGGCCATCTTCTGTGTATATGAACATGTAAAGGATCACGGTTTTAGCTATTAATTGATTACGCACGATTATTTCTTCTTGTTAACTTTTCCATCGCTCGATACTTGATGAACTAGGTGGCATTCGAGTTTCACTCGACTGCAAACTGCGTTGCAAAGTTTGCAATGTTGATTATTGAAAAACCGATATCTCATTAAAAAAAAGGAATAATCGTTCCTACAATTATTTGCACAACGCTTTTCCCGTCAGACATTAATACTTGCCAACAACGAATTTCTATCCTGTCACTTATGGAAAATTTGAATTATTTACATATGGACCGATTTGCTGATCAAAATACAAAAGGAATTAAAAACACAGGTGGCAAAACTCATCCCTACAAGAACTCCATCAACTTTTGAAAATATAGTTTTAAAGAACGCTATCAGTTTATCTTTGAATCATCGATACGATTTATTACTTGTAATCAGTTTTCCTTGCAGCTGTGACGAATAATATCAGCTTATCGAATAAATTGGCGGCTAACTTTTTATACTGTCTTCATTTTAATCATCTCAAAACATTAAAAACAACAAATTCCACAAAAATCAGGAGCCACTATGCAGCCAAATTGCTCATACCCCTCTCGTACTTTTCTATTTTATCTTACCTTTTTCATCATTTTCTATGTGTACTAAGTCACGGAGCTAAACGATAAGGATCCTTATTTTATATCGTCAAAAAGACTAGGTCATAGAGTGTTTTTATAGAAAATACTTTTCTCATTTACTCATATATTCCATCTACCTATATGTAACATTACACTGTTCCAGTTCTCTAGCGAACGGTGTATGAACGTATTAGAAAAGATTATCTCTTGTTTTTCCTTGTGCTACAACATGATTACCACTTATGGATTACAATAACAACTATCACATAACACTCTTCTCAAATGGCATCAGTCTACTTTGAATATTATTTCAATAGATAGATCTAGATAATAACTACTAAATGATGCTAAGAAACACACGGAAACGAAGTGAGATAGTATATCTCTTTTTTAAAATACTCAAAACAGCTCTATGACAGTACCACTATGCATATGTTTCAATGATGAAGTAAGAGTTTTTGTTGACTAAAACGCATAGACGCACTCTATATTGTGTACCAACCGATTATTCTCATCAAGACCTATCAAAAGGTGATGAACA